CTTTTGTCTTGAAAACGACAAAAATAAGAAGTAAATTTAATTAAATTTTGTTTTGTGACGATTTATTTTCGAATATTGATCTCGAAAATCTCAATACTGTCGTTTCTGAAAAAAAGAAATTCTTTAATTCATGTGCATTTTATGTCATAACTACTGCTTTAAGATATCATTGATTTATAGCCTAAGTTTGAACACTTGTTTTGTGTTTATTGTATTATCTATGGTATGGGCGTGCGAGATAATCTTATGTCCAGCTACACTGGGACCCACACACCCACGCCCTACCCAAACTTATTCTAAATAATGGGCATAAGAAAAACTGATCAATGAAAATAATAGTAATAAAAATAAAAATATATCTTCTAATGAAAATTGATTTATGCAAAAAATTAAAATTGTGTGAAACTATAAATATGTACGATATTATAGATATAATAAAGAGAAAAAAAGGAAAAAAAATGTTTTTAAATATAAATTAATGATGAACAATGTCTTTTATTCTGTCAGATACATATAATAGAAAAAAACTCTATTTCGAAGACAATTAACCACTTCCACATGATCTGAAACAATTCCAGCATCCATTACAGTCCCCACTGGACTGGCACTTTCCTGGTAAACCGATTTTTGGATCTTGTAATAAACAGGAAGAGAAACCACAACTGCCATAACAAACACCACCACTACACCATACAGATACTGAACAGCCACGTTTATAAATATTTCCCGTTTGATAATCAAAATCGAGATAACGACCATTTATAATATGAATAATTAATATAACAACAATAAAAATAGATAGAATAAATTTCGCCATTATATTAAATAATATTTAGTTAATAATATTATTATTTTATCACAATTACTTCTATTTAATAAAAATCTATTGGAAAATAGACATTGAAATAATAAAGTTAACATTCTATTAGTTTTATTAAGATTCATTCTTCTCTTAAAATATGATCTTGGTATATTTATGACAAAATCATGTAAAATTTCTAAGATATGTTCGTGGTACGTAAATCTAGATTTTCTCAAGTCCTCATATGTGAACCGAGTCCTCTTCCTCTCTCTCACCAATAATTAAAATCATTAGTAATTACTAACGGAATCATTCACATAATGAAGGGGAGAGGCTATGATAAAATTCTCAGCTCTGTACCATGATCTTCGATGGAGATATGCACCAAACAAGAGTCGAAAATAGCTCATTTAGCAGTCTATTTTTCTCTGTCTCGGCTCATTCAGTGTATTAATCTTTTTGTTTAAAAGACCATGTTAGGATCCAGAGCACCAGATAGTCCTTGTTTTTAAATTCTTACTTTTCAAGCGGAGAAAAGAGATCAAAAGTTCATTGACTCAAAAAGCTCTGTAAAAATGGGCGCCAATTTACATGGTGACTGTATGTATAATATAAACAATGCTTAATTTAAAAAAACGACTCTGCGATGCCCTATATATTGACATGCTGTTTCAAACAAAAAAATATAAAATATATTGAATGAACCTGGAGAGAGAAATTTGGATTGCATGGTCAAAAAAGCGTAAACTGAGCAAAGCCTGTTTCTGAAAATGTAGATGATGGAAACTGTCAAAAAATTTTGCTCCAAAAGAGGGGGTACCGTCTTCAAAATTATGTTGTTTGTAAAAAAGCAGAATTCAGGCAATCTTCCAATGCAGTTATCTTTATTTTCATTTTTTTGCTGAAAAGGGAGTTTTTGAAGGGAGAGGGTTCTTAACTCAACGTAAACAGAGAAAGAATGGCGCTAAAAGTTGAAAGTTGATCAAATGAAGCACAGCTACAAACAAGTAGTGAAGCAGAAAAAGATACTTCTCTCTTATAATGATTGAAAAAAAAACAAAAAATATTTTGTGATATTTAAATGCGTCAATCAAGCATAACTATAAAGCAGTACTGAAGGAGAAAAGGATACTTCTATCATATTATGTTTGAAAAAAAAGGAGAAAAAAAAATTTTCTCATACCTAGATATGCTAATCAAGCATAACTGTAAACCAGTAGTGAAGGTAAAAACGTTAACTTTCTCTTATGATGATTGAGAAAAAAGGAGAATAAATATTTCGTAATATCGAAATATGTCACCCAAATGCAATTATAAACAAGGACTACTGCGCAGAAAAAGAGAACAAGCATAAAAGGATATTTTTCTCCTGTTATGTTTTAAAGAAAAAACAGTAAATAATATTTTCTAATTTCGAAAAATGCCAAAGAAACGCAACTATAAATGAGTGATGGTGTGTAACAAAAAGAATTACTAAAATTCCTTTCTTATACTATGTTGTAGAAAAAAGTATTTCTATTATTTTAGGGTGTGGGTGTGGATGTGGGTGGAGTGTGGGTGTGGGTGTGGGTGTGGGTGGGGTGTGGGTGTGGGTAGGGTGTGGGTGTGGGTTCTATTAGTTTTCCACGTTCACCCACACGCACCACACATCTACCCGACACCCACCCACACCCACACCCCACACCCCACACCCCACCCACACCCACACCCACACCCACAC